TGCAGTGTGCCTCTCTCTTTCTCAAAAATAAACAAACATTAAAAAAAAAATTTAAAGGTGCTGTCTTCCTCATGAACCAAGCTGGACGCTGGTTGGTGATGGGGCCTTTGATGGTGGACAGTAGGTTAAACAATCCCTTTTCATGGGGGAGCTCACAATTATGATTTTGTACTGGGGGCTCAAGAAAGCTCAGCTGAGTTTCCAAGGCAGGAGGACAGGAAAGGAACCACTCCACATGGGCAGTCTGTTGGAGGGGGTGGCGGGGGAGGGACAACTGATGTCTAGACCATACCGGGCTGTGTTTGCTCTGTGATTCTGCTTGGAAATCATGACACGTTGAGCAGTTTACCTTCTGTCTCGGTCTGCATTCCTTGCTCCGCCTACTTCCAGAGTCTGCTTAGTCCCTAGATGTTCACAGCCGTGACAGCCGGCCAGAAGTGTGCAGTGCACTTGGAGAGAGTGATTGTTTTAACTTATTATATTAACTGCTCGGAAAATGACTTTGGGGAGAGAAGTACCAATGCTTCTGTCTATCTGATCATGAGTAACTCTGGAGGGGAATGGCAGAGAGCCTCCCAACTGTCTCTATTCTTAGACCTTGGACCGATGCTGCCTTTGCCTTCCTCCTTTAAATGCCCCTCTAAATTGGGCACCTTTCCTCACCTTCTTCCTCAAATTGTTCTTCTGACCAGGGAAGCTGGAAGGAGAATATTAGTGTCTCACGGTCCTAGAGGATATTCTTTTTCTGATCTCAGGTCTTTACTTACTGGACTGTGTTAGGTCAAGGAAAAGCCAGGAGCCTCTCTTGAGAACAGCTTTCGCTGATGAGATTTGATTCAGAGACCAGTAGATGGTCCTCCCTGCACAGGGAGGCCAAGAAACTAGGGAGATGCAGATGGAAGCCCCCACAGTGTCCGTCTTTCCTGTGTTCATCTTGGAGAGACGGCATCAGCTGCACGAGCCTGTGAGGGTCCCCAGCACATCTTCCCACGTGTGTTCTCCCCGGGGCCAGAGCCCAAGGAGGACGCACGCTGGGCTGACGACAGACACTGCTCATCCAGGAGCTCGGTGGGCTGTCTTCTCAGTCTGCAACTTCCAGCTGCCCTCTGCTTCTCTGGGGCCACACGGACCTGTCCTGGGAAGAACTGGTATTGTGGGGTAGGGTTGGGAGTAGAGAAGTTGCCAGCCGAGGCAGTGTCTCGGCCCAGGAGGCTGTCAGGCTGGGGGTGAGGGGCATGGCCCGTGCCTGCGCACCTAGGGAGTGCCAAGGATGCCAGACTGTGGCAGCGGGAGTTGGGGGAGACCAGCAGGGTGAGAGGATGAGGAGAGAGCTTCCTGGCAGAGCCACACTCAGTTAATCAGGAAAAAGCCTTCGGCTGGCGGACTGAGCTCTGCTGGGGGTGACCCACGTCCAGCTGATGTGGGACGCGGCCGCAGAGAGCCCACATGGCAAGGCACGGTGGGAAGGATGCTGATGAGGGTAGGCTCTGGCCACATCAGAGAGAGCCCCTGGGTCCCCTTCATGTCAGATCGGTCTGCTTTCCCCCAATCTGTATGTTGCCAAAAGCAATGGAGAAGGGATTAGACTCCATAAAATCCCAGGGGAGTCCTAGGTCTGCTCCTATCCAGCTGTGATCTTTTTTTTGTTTTTAACATTTATTTATTTTTGAGAGAGAGAGAGAGCATACGTGCTATTGGGGGAGGGGCAGAGAGAGATGGAAGGAGAGGATCCCAAGCAGGCTCCAGGCTCTCAGCACGGAGCCCAAGGTACGACTTGAATCCACAAACCGTGAGATCATGACCTGAAGCGGAAACCGAGAGTCAGAAGCGTAACCTACCAAGCCACCCAAGCGCCCCCTAGCCAGCTGTGATCTTAAGACACCCTTTTGCCCCTGAACACCCTTGCAGCTCTCTGGTTCCATCCTAAGTATCCTTCTCCATGCTGACACTTTCCTGCTTAAGTAGGTCTCACCTCCCAGACGCTTAACCCCGCCTGTTTCTCCCCAATGCAACCCACTCCCCCCACACATGCCCGTGTATACGCGGCCACAGAAACTAGTGAGTGCACACTTGAGTTGCTTTTCTCTGTCCTCCGTGAAATCCTGGTGAGGCGCCTGAGCTGTGGAGCTCTCTCTTGTTTTTTTGAGATGGAACTCAAAAGGTTCCATCTGGATACCCTGAGAGAATCCATTGGCCAGCACAGCTGGGGGCTCCCGGGTGTGGAGTGTGCAGCACCCATGTGCACAGGGGCCCCCCAGGATGAGGAGAGCTTTGAGGAGAAGGCCCATCCTCCAGCTGTGCTACTCTGATTTCATGGAGTGCCACCCAAGCACTTTTGGAAAGAAGCTAAGCTTTGGCGGACCTGACCGTAATCCCACCTCTCCAGCCCCAGGCACAGAGCCCTGGCGTTTATCAGAGGAGCCCTGGGATCCCGCGTATGGGTGTCCCGTGGACCTATGGGCCCAAGGCTTGGAGCTCTTCCCAGACTTATCTGGGAGAAGCCAGTGGACACTCTCCTTCAAAAGACAACTTCTCTGCCCCCTACAATACTCCCAGGGACTAGGACCATGAGTGTGAGATTGGAATCAACCTTGGATATCATCTAGTTTAACCTCACCCCATTTCGTAGATGAGGCAACTGAGACCCCGAGAGAGAAGTGGACTTTCGAGGTCACAAGCCAGGTCTCCTAGCTCTAGTACTGTTTCCATGACACCACACTGCCTTTAGAATCAGTGGCATACCTTTGCACATCAGTCAAATCTTACTTTCGTTGCAGAAGATGACTTCAGTTTCTGAAAATAAAATTGTAGGTTGGTCGATATGAGTCCTGAGACTATTTAGCCCTTACAAGCAGAACTCTTATGGGTTTAGGGATAAGAGGTTAGAAGGGAGCAGGATGAGGGAAAGGCTGGAGAGGAGGAGGATGGGGTGGGCAGGAGGATGGAGGGAGCCGGGCAAAGAGGAATATGCGTGGCTCGTCACTCCTTAGCCATTTCCCAGAGGACTGACTCATTTCTGGCAAAGCAATTCCTGTAGCTCCCTGGCTGCCTGAGAATCCTAGTCGGTCTGTCTCTGAAACACCCCCTGGACGACAGATGAACCTGGCTTCGTCTTCTCATGACTCACCAGGGCTTCCCTGAGCTGACTCCTGTTGAATTAATAAGAGCAGAATGTCCTGGGCTCATGGAGAGCAGCCTCCCCAACTCCCAAGCCCGCATTTCTCCCCCGTCTGCCCGCCTGTCTTTGAACGAGGTTATTGAACATCCTATGAGAGCCCCGTGGTGAGCACCTATGTGTCAAAAGCCGAGTTCAAGTCTGAATTGTCTCCTGTCCCGAAGGGACAAGAAAGGAAGGGGCAGGGCATAGCTGCTCACATCTGGTTACAAGGCTGCCAGAGAGGACTGTGTTCACTGCCAGTGCAGGAGTGGTCTTCGAGAAAACTTGGGGATTTGATCAGAAGCAAGTCTTTCCTAGGTGTAAGCTTTTAGAACACTTACTTCCTTGTGATATTTCTTGGAATTCTCAGTCTTTTTCGTTCCCCAGGACATGCGGTTAGCTGAAGCTGTGTGTTTCAGACCTCCAGAAGACAGCAAATGTCCCATAATATACTGGCCAGAATTGGGAGAAGGGAAGTTTTTCTGCCAAATGATTTCAAAGTTTAAAACTGTATACTGGGGCGCCTGGGTGGCGCAGTCGGTTAAGCGGCCGACTTCAGCCAGGTCACGATCTCGCGGTCCGTGAGTTCGAGCCCCGCGTCGGGCTCTGGGCTAATGGCTCGGAGCCTGGAGCCTGTTTCCGATTCTGTGTCTCCCTCTCTCTCTGCCCCTCCCCCGTTCATGCTCTGTCTCTCTCTGTCCCAAAAAAATAAATAAACGTTAAAAAAATAAATAAATAAATAAAAAAATAAAACTGTATACTGCCAGGGGCGCCTGGATGGCTCAGTCAATTGAGCATCTGACTCTTGATTTTGGCTCAGGTCATGATCCCACGGTCGTGACACCTGCTGAGCATGGACCCTGCTTGGAATTCTTTCTCTCTCTTTCTGTCTTTGACCCTCCCCTGCTTGCTCTCTCTCTATCTTTCTCACTCTATCTCCAAACAACAATAACAACAACAACACACACACACACACACACACACACACACACACAACCCACAAATTGTATACTGCCAGTCTTGTTTTCATCCAGGTACCAAAGAACCTTGCAAACTGGTGATATCAATGATGTTGTCCTGGAAGGACGATAGGATGAATTGGTTGAGGGATGAGGGTGCGTGGGGGACCCTTTGCTATGTAATCCTTTGTATATTTTCAATTTGAAACCATATAAATATGTTTATTGATTAAAATTTTGTTTTTATTTTAAAGAAATGAAAAAAAGAGCTTTGTTTTTACTTTAACTTTAAAAGTGTTAGAGTTTGATTGTAAAGACAGAAAAACTTGATGATCATCTATACACTGTCCTTCCGGGTCCTCGAATTGGAGAGCAAATGACTGTGAGAGACTGAATCCCATGACTGTTGGAAGATACACACGTACGTTTTACAGATAAGGAAACGGAGTCAGGAGATGGGACTGGCAAAGGAGGTCCCAGTCGGTTAGTGGCAGACTCAGCCAGGACACGTTCGGGGCTCCCCTTCCTCCTCCCTGCCGTCCCAAGAACGCTAACGAGGGGGTTTGCTGTGAGTTATGCTGGAGGTAAGTTCCTAGTGGGGCTCTTTTCTAATCCTGCTATTGAAAAGGCCACCACAGTCCCCTCTGGATTGCTGGAGGGATGGCGACCATTAGGAACGTTCTACAAAGCTGAGGAAGAGTGACAAGGTCTTTGTTCCAAAAGGCACAAATAGGACTGAGAATGAATGATCTCCTCCAAGACGGTACAGTGTTGTACCATCGTTTCCCTTCCTCTGCCTGTGGACGCCCTTCCTGGAGTGAGGACTGATGACAGCCAGGAGCAGGGGAGCCCTGCCTTCCCCTCATGTGTGTGTTTCATTGCAGAGTCATCAGCTATGAGTGCTGCCCTGGGTACGAGAAGGTGCCAGGAGAGAAGGGCTGTCCTGCCGGTGAGTAAGCCAGGCCTGGCCCATTGGTACAAATGGAGGGAGATGGGGAGGGAGGAACACCCATGTGAGAGGCAGCAGTGTCCACGGCGGAGGGGAGGGTGGTGCGGGTCTGACGCACAAGGCTGCACGGACATGCCCCCCACGTGCTCTCTGGTTCTGGGCTCCGTGCGAGGGCCAGAGCATGGAAGCTGGGAACACGGAGCTTCCCGCCCTGCTCCTTCCTATGCAAGCTGACCTCCTCACGGGGCTAGTGGAACAGACTCCAATTCTAGCCTGCCTGCGCTGGCCTCCCAGCCATGGGCTGCTGGCCTTGTTGTCTCTGGCTAGGAGTGATTTCTGATCAGCTCTGCCAGAGAGCCAGGCTGGAGCACGAAGCCACCCCTCCTCCCTCTGTCAGAACTTGGCTCATCACAGTCCAACAAGAAGAGCGGTAGACCAGGCAGGATCACCCAGAAATGGCATAGGGAACCACCAATGGCCAAAGACTGTGTGGCCCCTGTCTTTTATCAGCTATCAGGCATATCCCCAGGGGCTGTGCAGAGTGGGAGTTTTAACTATGAAATGCTTGCTGTTGATTCGTTGAGCATGTGAGACGGAGTTAAAAGGAAGGGGCACTTTGGTTGGTACCAAGGTCTCGAGGTCATGGTTGGCATGGCGGGAGGCTCAGGTGGAAGGCAAGTGGGAAATAGGCAGTGGAGAAAGGAGAATGGCCTCAGAGAGGAGCTCAGCCTCTGAGCCTTCCCTCGCGCCCTTTGAAATGGATGGTGAGCTCACTGTGGGAGGGGAAGGCCCCTTGTGGGACATAACATTTTATTGCTTGTAAGTATACAAAGAACCTGGAAGGTCTGTAACGCTCTTTCATTCTAGTAGAGGCCATTAGGAACCCGGTTGGGACAACTAGATGAATCAGAAGGCCTGGTGTGTAAATAAGGATATCTATTTCCGACGTCCATTCCTGCCGGTACTCTCTAAATGTCTGGGAACAGAAGCTTCATCTTGCGTATGGCTAAAAGATGAAAAATTACCAATTAGTTGAGTCCGAGTAGGGAGGCGTTTGACCTACGGAGCCGCTGTAAGAAGCGTGTGATACACGAGACGAGCTTGAGGCACATTGAGACACAGTGGACGTGTCTGGGCTTTCCCGCACACTTGTCCCGCAGCTGTACCCACGCTCTCTGCAGCCCAGGGAGGGGGCCGTCTGCCTGGGGTGGGCCCCACAGCCTGTGCCTCCTCTGTCCTCTGCCCCCACAGCCCTACCTCTCTCAAACCTTTACGAGACCCTGGGAGTCGTCGGCTCGACCACCACCCAGCTGTACACAGACCGCACAGAGAAGCTGAGGCCCGAGATGGAAGGACCAGGCAGCTTCACCATCTTCGCCCCCAGCAACGAGGCCTGGGCTTCCTTGCCAGCTGTGAGATGCCTGCCTTACTTCCCAGAGGGGGGTGCTTGTGGGCATGAAGGATGAGGCTCTTTAGTGCTTTCCCACTGTTTCAGGAAACGTCTTCCTTGAGCCCTCAGAGAAAGCCAGGGAACCCGAGTTAGAATACACCTCACCACGTTGCCTCCAGTGCCCCATCTGTCCAACTGAGCTCAGCAGACTGACTTTGGTGCTCACGGAGGAGAGGTCCTTGGCAGAATGGAGGCGTGGGGCCATTGGGGTTTCAGAAGCACCTTTCCCAGGGTAACGAGAACCTCCCCCCTTGAACATGTGGTCTGCAGCTAAGTGCAACTCCGGCCTTCCTTCTAGGAAGTGCTGGACTCCCTGGTGAGCAACGTCAACATCGAGCTCCTCAATGCCCTTCGCTACCACATGGTGAACAGACGAGTCCTGACGGATGAGCTGAAACACGGCATGGCCCTCACCTCCATGTACCAGAATTCGGACATCCAGATCCACCACTATCCCAATGGGGTAGGGAGTCCCCAGCTACACTTCCCTGTGTCCACACCAAGCCTACCCCTGGTCCGCATGTGGGGCTGGTTTCTGGGGTTTTGTCCTGCAGGTGAGATTGGCCGGAGGTAATCCCTGCCTCCTGTGCCTGCGTCTCCTCAGGCCCTCTGGGTCCACGGGTGTGGAACCCGCCTTCTGCACTGCATTTTCCCTTCCTGGGGCTTCAGGCCTGTGCCTCCGATATGTCAACCACTCCTCCTCATTTCTTCTCTGGGCAGATCGTGACCGTCAACTGTGCTCGGCTGCTGAAAGCCGACCACCACGCAACCAATGGTGTGGTGCACCTCATCGATAAGGTCATCTCCACCGTCACCAACAACATTCAGCAGATCATCGAGATCGAGGACACCTTCGAGACCCTTCGGGTGAGGGACTGCCCTGGGAGGGGAGCCGACCTGGGGACACACCACCTCCCCAAAGGGCCTTCTTGTGTGGGAGAAGCAGAGGATGTCTCCATGTTCATGAGCATTTAGGGGACATGGAACAAGCTCCTCTAAGTGCCCACGAACAGGAAGGGTCCACTTACCAGAAGCTCGGCTTGACCACAATGAAACATCATAATCCTCTGCTGGAAAAAAATGTCTCTGCCCGTCTTCTCCTTTGTCAAGCTTTCCTTTTGTGACTCCCCTGGAAAGTTCCATGGTCTCCAGCTGCAGCGGGGCAGGTCGCTTGAGCCCGAGGCTGCCTGGGCACACACTGTGGGTTCCAGAGGGGAGAGAGCCCTTCCTCCCAGGCAGTGGCTCCCATACGTGGGACTAGAATAATGTCAGGCTGCCTGATCTTCTGGAACACATGTTCCTACCATGGGGCCCTGCTGTAGCCATACCCGTGTCTCCTTTGAACCCAGACCGGCAGTGAGGCCACCAATGTGGACATGGGAGGCTGGGTTTGACTTCTGGCCTGGCTTCTGACCTGGCCACCGAGTACTGTTCCTTCTGCCCTTCCCAGCAGGCATTTGTCTTACAACTGGAGTGGCAAGCAGGCATTGCTCTTGGCAGTGGCTGCTGAGAGGAAGTGAACACAGGCTGCCCCGTCAGGGGTTTTGCCCTGATTCAAGGAGAACTTCCTGACCACAAAGGACACCAAGGGGTGTGGGGTAGTTTCTCCCCTGGAGATCTCCAACACAGAGAGACAAACACCCTGGGGCTGGGCTGCCTCTGAGGGGGCCTCAGGAAGTAGCTCTGCAGGAGACTCTGCTCTCCAAACTTTCCCCCTGCTTTCCTTCTGGGTCACTCCAAGGGCAGGGGTCTGCAAGGGAATGATGTCCCTACAAAGTTGGGGGCACATCTTTTGATTAACCGTAGTTGACCCCGCTGAGTAACCTCCTCTTATTATTTAGGTTTGGCAAATATTCCTTCTTTCCTTCTTCCTCTTTGGATCCCCCTAACGCCCATCCTTCCTCCCACTAACCTGTACTTAGTAACACCTGCTACTTCCCAGGTATTGTTCCATGTGCCAGGGGTATACAGGTGAACAAGATGGACCAATTTGTGTCCTCTGTGGCACTTCTTATTTTTTCCTGGGGAGACAGACAAGATGCACACGAGGTAGCCATGGATTGTGCTGGGCATTGTAAAGTCAGTGAGTAGGGAGCAGAGGAGGCCAGTTGACGCTGGATGGTCAGGGAAGGTCTCTCTGGAAGAGGTGACTTTTGAGCTGAGGACTAGAGGATGAGAACGGCCAGTTAAACAAAGCACAGGGGCAAGAGCACGGTCAGCAGAGGGGAACAGGTCGAGCAAGGAGGGGGCCAGCAGGGCCAGAATGAAGACAAGTACGCTGACAGAGCGTGAGGCGGGAGCAGCCGGGCCACCAGGGGCCGGTCCTGCGGGGCCGCAGACCGGGCACAGGAGTGTGTCCTCATCCCGAGAGCACAGGGAGGCGCTCGATGCTTTTGCAAGATATTCTGGCTGCTCTGTAGACGCAGGTGATGGGACCCTCCCACTCCTGGAGCTCACCCAGGTAGTATAGCTAGTAGTTCTTTATACAACGTGAGGACAGCAAGCCCTAAGAGTATGGCGACAGACCCCTTCTCAGTTGCAGAGTGGGGGTGGGCATGGGGCGATCGGGGGTTGGCTACCTAGAGAAATGACATTTCAGTCAAGTCCCAAAGAAGGAATAGGGGTCAGAGAAGCAAAGAAAGAAGGAAGGGCAGAGGGAATGGTGGGGCCAAAGTGTGGGGGTGGGAAGGACAAAGCCACGTGAAGTCACTGAGAGCTGGCCGGAGGGGTAGGAGCTCATCAAAGCTCAGAGAGGTAAGCTTTGGTTTGGCTCTCCATTTCATCTTGGGCTTCTACAAAAGCCTGAGGCCCTTTGAGGCAAGACTGGTGACACCGTTTGTGCCTCTTGCCTGCGGAGCATCCCAGAACCTTTAGGGAAACCTCCATCCTCTCCCATTCCCATAGGCTGCCGTGGCCGCCTCTGGGCTCAACACACTGCTTGAAGGTGATGGCCAGTTCACGCTGTTGGCCCCAACCAATGAGGCCTTCGAGAAGATCCCTGCTGAAACCTTGAACCGGATCCTGGGTGACCCAGAGGCCCTAAGAGGTGAGCACCCCTCGGCTCCTGCTGCCCCCTCACCGGAGCAGCAAGACTGAGCCTAAGGCCTGCTCTTGTCCAAGACAGACATGTGGCCTGATGTCCTGTCACAGGACAGACATGCCACCTGACATCCTGTCTCATTGCTCCCAGCTGGCTCCATCTCTGCCGAAGCCAGAGCAGAGCCATGGTTGGAGGGGCGAATACAGAATCCAGCCACCTTTGTCTAATGACACAGTTGGGCTGAGGAGCAAGGCAGAGTTGGAGGTCCAAAGCAGGCCCTGGCCAGACTCAGAAAGAGCTAAAGGCCTGAACGATCAAAACCAGAGCAGGGCATCCAAGTTCAGTTACAGTCAACTTCATAGCAGAGTCCCTCAGTGCTTCCTCAGTGGGTTGCTTAGCTAGGGGTGCATTGATTATTGGAAGGACCATGCACGTGAGAGAAGGGAGGGGAGGGGAGGCCCGGCCCTCCCTGCCCCCTGCCACTGCCCCCTTCAGCTCCACGAGTGCTGAGCCGCTCCTGCTGACCGCGAATCTCCTGCAGAGAGGAGTTGGTCCCAGGTCCCCTGTGGACCCCAACCCCACTTAGTCATCCCAGCTATAATCCAGGGCTGACATCATTTCTTTTGAATCTATTTAAACACACCTTTGAAATCTACAATCTACAATACCTACTGCATTTCAGACACCCTGTAAATGTAAAATGTTCTCCTTGCAGCCACGCAGGGACAGGCGAGGGCACATTTCTGAGAGCACAGATGGGGATCTGTTGTGTCCAGATGTTGTGGCGCCTCTGTGCCTGGCGTGTGGCAGGAACTGGGGCCACACAAGGGAACATGGTACAGACTTGCCTTCAAGGAAGTTTAAGCCTAGCTGGGCTTAAAGACAGGCCGTGGGTTCTGAAGACAGGCCGTGGTGACAGAGATGCCCCCACCCTCATGGGCACCTGCAGCCCGAGGCATCCCAAAGCTTCCTGGAGGAGCTGAGACTTGGGTCCATCTCAGCACACTGAACTTGCCATTCAGAGCTATGCTTCCCGTAACACCTGTTTTGTGCAGAGCACATTTGCAACTTTGTAGATATCAGAATTCCTGATGAGAAGAAAAAGGCACTAATTTTTCCCTTTTGCACATCTGCCTTTTCCTGCTCAGTAACCCATTTGCTCTAAGCAAGAGCCCTCTGCACAGGGCTCTGGCTGGCGGGCTTGAAGGCGGAGGGACAGGAGTGCAGCCGGACAGGCTCTGTTGTTTCTAGTGGGTTGGCAGACAAGCGAGAGGCCCGGGCTGGCATGCCTTGTTGGAAGACTGGCTTCCAGCCCTCGCCCTGCTCTCCCTCCCAGTGGCCCTAGTGGGTCACCCCACCCTGCCTTCAGTTTCCTTCCCTGAGAAGCTAAATCCCGAGGCCTCTTTCCCACAGCGACCCAGCTGTCCTTTCTCTCCCGCCGGCCGAAGGGCGTCAGCACTGGCTTTCAAGGCCCCCAACGCCCCTGCAGCAGCCCTGTGACTCTGCAGGTCCTCAGGGCTTCCTCCTGTCCGTGACTGTGCGGTTTTGGTTCTCACACTCGGCACAGATTGAGACGCGCCTCTGTGGCGAGAACATAAGACAAAGGGCCCTGAGTGGCCATCTGGGAACTTGTTTTGCGTGGCTGGGGTCATGCGCTCCCCCCCCCCCCCCACTGCCCCTTGCAGCTTCCTCAGGGCCCCCAACTTCTGCCCTGTCCCTGAAGGGCTCTTGGACAAGTAAATAAAGGATTCTATTTATGATTTATGGGTGGGGTGAATGCAGTGGCAAAGACCGTGTCTTTTTGGTCACTATCCCCAGCCCCTAAGCAAGGTCCTGGCAACTAGGAGACCCTTGGGTAAAATGAACAAAAACAGATAAAATGAGCAAATACTCCCAGAATTCTCATTTGCTGTAGTTTCCATCTTTGCCTCCCACATTTTACATTTTCTAAAGGTCTGTCGATAAAAAGTCCCAGGGTGAACTCACTTTAAGGTTCAGGTACTAGTAAGAGAATTCCCCTTAGATTCAGGTACAAATGAGCCCGTCATTAACACGTGTTGGGCATTCACTGTTGCCCAGCACCGTGCTGGGTACTTCACGTTCAGGGCTCACACCGCCCCCAGGAGAGGAATGCCGAATCATCTCCCTTGAGGAGGAAACTGAGGCTCACAGAGGTTCAGTGACTTGTCTGGGGCCCCAACCGCTGGTGAGTGGCCGAGCTGGGATTCAGACTCAGGCAGTCTGCCCGCGGAGCTGGGCTCGACTCGGGGCAGCAGCAGGGGAGGACCCGGGCTTGTGTGGTGCCCCAGCCTCATCTGAAGGGTAGCGTCAGAGAGAATAGAATCGGTACAGCCATGGAGGCTGCGTGCTGACCTCTGATATCAGCCTGGATCCAGCACCGACTCAACCTGTGTCCTGTTCGACCCCCAGACCTGCTGAACAACCACATCCTGAAGTCAGCCATGTGTGCCGAAGCCATCGTCGCAGGGATGTCCGTGGAGACCCTGGAGGGCACTACACTGGAGGTGGGCTGCAGCGGTGACATGCTCACCATCAACGGGAAGGCCATCATCTCCAACAAAGACATCCTGGCCACCAATGGTGTGATCCACTACATCGATGAGCTGCTCATCCCAGACTCAGGTGAGCCAGGCCTCCTAGGCTATGGCCCTTCCAGGCCTCCTGTCCCCTCTGGCATCCAGGGTGGAGACACTTGGGGAATGTAGGGATCTGGGGGGCCATTTCCTTGCCTGCACGCAGCTCACAGCCTCTCAGGAGAAAGGGCCTGGGCCCCTGTTGGGTTGCAGCCGGGACTGAAGCATCTTGAGCTGCCGGCCTAGGAGTCCAGGCGTTTCCTTGGAGGCAGTGGAGGAAGCTCAAGGGAGGTTGGAGGGAGCTGGGGAGGGAGCCGCTCGATCACAGAAGAAGCCTTTCAGAAGATCTGCCTGCACAGAGGGCCATTTGCTGACCTCAGAGCATGTGCCTTCTCAATGATGCCCAAGCATCCCAGAGTCGCTGACCCTGGGAGAAATGACTGAATGGACTTTGGCTTGGGTTTCATTCAGCATGCTAGCTAGCCCCATTCTGGACTTCGAGGGAGGTCGGTTGCTCAGGAGTGAAGCAATTTCACAGGAAAGAAACCAAACCAGAAGAAGACTTTGTACGGGTGTGGTTGCTGGCATTATCTACTGCTCAGAAGCCATGACACGGATGGTGCTGCCCTGCTGCAGGCATTAGCTGGTGCCCTGACCAAGGGTGGGGACAGAGGCCAGCCCCTGCTCGCCTGCACCTCCCCTCACTCCCCTGCCCAGTGAGACCTGGGCGACCAGTGCCCTGATGACACGAGCCCGCTGCGCCCCAGCGGTGCCGAGAGGGCTGTTGACTCGCGGGATGACATTCCTGCTGGTGTGTGTCACGCTCTGGGGTGGACGGATGATAAATGAAAACAGCACTTCTAACTTTTGAACCTACGTTCTCCTTCCTTGCAGCCAAGACGCTGTTTGAGTTGGCTGCAGAGTCGGACGTTTCCACAGCTGTTGACCTTTTCAGACAAGCTGGCCTCGGCACTCATCTCTCCAGAAACGAGCGGGTGACCCTCCTGGCCCCCCTGAATTCCGTGTTCAAAGGTAACATGGCGACAGCAGCCCCGGGAGTTTGTCTCTGGGGTAGCTGCCCCCCCCCCCCCCCCCCCCCAGCACCACCACTGTCACCTCTTGCAGCCTCCTCCCTGATTGCCAGCACCCTGCAGAATGTTAGCACTCCCACCCAGCTCAACAGAAACCTCGGAGGCTCTGGCACATCATTTGGCAGAGCAGAGAATGCATTTTGGGGATCTGGTCCCCAGAATTCAAAAGTTCACATCTGGCTGGAGAGCAGAACACTCTCATGCCTTTTTATGTACAGAATCAATCGCCCATGTGATCATCAGAAGGTCAGAGTGAGGATACAGCTGAGCTGTGGTCATGGGGAAGGTGGAGGAGGGGGCCAAATGGTGTCCATGCCTTCCCCTCCCTCCACGGGCAAATCTCCAAACACCCTCGATTATCTAGAGCTTTTTGTTTGGTTAATTTGCAGAAGATGGCAGATGTTAAGGAATTTGGCAGCCTTACTGCATTTCTCAATCTCCCGTTTCCAAACTTAAGGAGGGTTGGCCTTCTCACTACATTTGTCTCTCATTCTCTTCCTTTCTGGAGCATGCCTCTGGACCTACGCACACCTTCCCTTACAGATGGAACCCCTAACATTGATGCGCGCACAAAGAATTTGCTTCTCAATCACTTGATTAAAGAGCAGCTGGCCTCCAAGTATCTGTACCATGGACAGACCCTCAACACTCTAGGTGGCAAAAAACTGAGAGTTTTTGTTTATCGCAATGTAAGTTCTGGTTCCCCAATAGTCCTCTTTCTTTGTCTCAGGTCTAAGAAATGGAAGCTGTATTAGTGGTAAAAGAACATATAGGTCTATGTCTATGTCTATGTATGTGTGTATATACGTATATATTGTATATGTATGTGTGTATATATATACATACCTATTATATGTGTGTATATATATATATACACATAAAATCTCAATAAACAGAAGCTTGCCTGAGTATGTGTGTGTATATATATATACTGATTTCTAATAAGGAAGGAAGGAATTTCTGGAAAGTATCTTATTTGAAAGGATCAAAATGGGAAACTGTAGAAGGATTAGAATCTCTTTTGCTGGCGGCCTTTGGGAATAAACCACACAGCGGTCTCAGCTGTCTGGGTAGGCAGCCGTCAGCCTTAAGCTCAGAGTGATGAACAGGGGAGGAGGAATGGAGGTTTTAAATCCTTGGCTTATGTGAACAGAAGCCCCCTTAACTGAATGAGCACAGCCCTTCCTGGTCCAAAAGGCTCTTTTCTCTCTTCTCCAGTCTCTTTTCTGTCTTCAAACCCAACAAAATATCAGACAGGAAGCACACCACAATGCAGTCCTTCCTTGGAACCATCCAGTACCATTGACTAAAGATGGTTGTCATCTGTTACATAGATGAGTCAATAGACCCGATCTATGGATTTGACCACTGTTGATGGACACCACGTGTGATGGGATATTCTCATTAGGGGACCTCTCTATATCTTTATTGGGGCCTGATAGCCATTTTTCCTCAACACAGTTTTTATTTTTTCTCTTCTGGAGAAAACGCAACATTTTATCCTAGTCTTAATGACCCACACCAGTGTATATCCATTGATCTTTGCGGATGAAGCCATCGGCAGGCCCATGTCCTGACCAAATTGTGAGGCCCCCATGTGGGAGGATAACGTGCCCTTTCTCTGCTCCTCTTTTGCACAGAGCCTGTGCATCGAGAACAGCTGCATTGCCGCCCATGACAAGAGGGGCAGGTATGGGACACTCTTCACCATGGACCGAATGCTAACCCCCCCAATGGGGACCGTCATGGATGTCCTAAAGGGGGACAATCGCTTCAGGTAACCAGCTTCTCCCAAGTGGTCATGCTGGGGCAGGACGTTGGGTCTCAGCTATCTGTCAAGCTCCCCACTTCCTCGGGGATTCAGTTAACGCTGACGGTGCACTGGTCACCTTCCAGGCTGGGGATCTGGGAAGGGTGAAGGTCAGACTGGAAGCTTATGTTGATAAAAAGGGTTATTTCTGGGAATGTGATCCTCACATCCTTGGGAATGGGGAGGGGGTGACATTTTTATACTGAAGTCCGAGGAAGACATCATATTCTCTTTTTAACGTCCCAAGTAAGTGGAGAGCACCTGGTTTTGAGTGTGGGATGAATCTCGCTCTGAACGATATCCACTCATGGTGCCCAGAGACTCCCAGCTGCTCCTTCTCAGGCTCCCTGTGTTGCTTTGCTTTCTTGCTCCTCTCTCTCCTTTTCTGACTTGTTTACTTACCACAGGGTGCTCTGACACCGGAGTCTGGGAGACTAGCCAGGCACTCCCCTGAATCGTATCCCCAGGGCCTGGTGGCTCGGCCAGTCTGTGGGTTGGCCATGCTGCCGGCCTCTCCCTTCCTCCTTCCCTCTCTGGCCTCTGACTTCCGGCCATTTGACTGAGCTTAGCATTTATGGAGAGAAGATGCAGACTGGAATCTTCCCTCTTTGTGTACGAGCCGGGGGTGAAAACCAGCCAGGGGTGTGAATTCCAGTGCTGGGCCCCACCTACCCACAGTGGGGAGGCATTTGGGAAAGTGACCGCCCCTCTCCCCACCACAGGCAGGTGACATTTTCTCTGCTGTCTCCACAGCATGCTGGTGGCCGCCATCCAGTCTGCAGGGCTGACAGAGATGCTCAACAGGGAAGGCGTCTACACGGTCTTTGCTCCTACAAATGAAGCCTTCCAGGCCATGCCACCAGGAGAGCTCAACAAACTCCTGGGTAAAGACCAACTGAAGTACATTTTCCATGGTTTCTAAAGTGACCGTATCGGTCAGGGGACCCGCAGGAAACAGGTGGCACGTTACAGAGGGTTTCACTGGAAGGAACTTAGTGAGGAGACTGTTTGTAAAACTATGGGCAGGAGGAAGGGACCAGCAAAGGGTGATGACACCCAGGCCTGGGGTTGGGGGTGATGACATCCAGGCCTGGGGGTGGAGGAGGGGACAGGGAGAACCAGAGCTTCAGAGGAGGGACACAGGACAGCAGCCAGAGCCACACGCAGCTGCTGGCAGAACCAGGGCAAGGGGGCCAGGACTACCTTAGCCTCGTTCTCTTCCCGCATGCCCGTTGCCGTGGGCCTCCTATCAGCTGTGAGTTGGGGGGGACACAGCCATCAGCCTCCCTGGGAACCATACAAGGCAGAGAAGAGTGGAAAGGCATTGAGTGGGTAACAGCCAGCCTGGTCACTAAGACATGTCAGCCACTGAGGACAGCGATAATGAAGCCATTTACCTTCATGAGATGTCCCTCGGGATAAAAGCTTTACCAACAAGCTATTCCTGGCCCTGAGAAATTTAGTTGAGGATGTTTCAGAGGTGATCCTCGCAGTTCAGAGCTTGGGCTCTGGGATTAACTCAAAGCTGCTTCCCATCCTGGCTCAGACATTCACCAGCTGAGTGACCTCTAGCAAGTTGCTTAACCTCTCTGAGCTTCAGTTTTCCCATTAGAAAAATGAGAGCACCTTGCTGTGTGTTGTGCAGAATAAATGTGTTGCTGGGCGCTGGGCACGCGTCCTCCCTCGGGGATGGCTACGATGAGGAGGGGGTGGGGTGGGGGTGCAGTGTTGAGCTTGCCCTTGACACACACACCTCACAAAAAGGTGAGCCTGAGGAGGGAGAGGAGGGGGGGGGGAGAGAGGGAGGAGGAGGAGGAGGAAGGACCTTGGCCAGACCTTGGGGCCCACATCATAGACACCTTCCTTCCTGCTCTGGAGCAGGAGAATAGGAAATTCAGGTTGCAGGCAGCCCCGAGCTGAACTTGTGTTCTGTTTAAGATTCTTTATTGCCTGGTAAACGCCTGTCTCTGTGATGCTGACGTATGTTCCCGAGAAGAGGGGAGAAGTTCCTTCTGAACATAAACTTGTTCCATCCTCTCTGTGTCCAGCAGGACTGCAATATTCCCCAGTGGCCTTGGTCCTGCTCGGCCTCCCTCGCGTGTTCAGTCGTGCAGGAGCAGGGACGGGGTGGGATGTTGGTGTGCCCAAGGCTGCCCACACACACCTTCTGCCAGGTCCGTGGGCAGGAATAGCCCCCAGCCCTCCTGGGAGACAGAGACGGAAGGCCGTCCAGGTGTAAGAGGTCAATCCAGGTGTTAAATGTCTCGGAAGAAAGAAGCCTCTCGCACCCCCGGGGGCCGGCTGGGCGCAGCAGCTCCCGGCAGTATTTTCGTGGAATGGGAATCCGTGGCAGCCAGGCTGTGGGTGTTTGGAAATTACTTGGTACCTGGTGTCTCCATCCCACGGGCACTGATGTGGATTTGTCAGTAACCAAGTGAACTCTCCAAGATGCTTTAAAACTTCCCCCGTTCTCAGTTTCGAGATGCTGGAAATAGCCATCCACAGGCCCTGGGGAAATCTAGCCACTGGGCTGGGACTGTGAGTGTCGGGGCGGCCGTGATGGAGAGGAGAGGGCAGCTGGCGGCTTCAGGCATTGCCTCCCACACTTAATTTGGAAAATGCCTCTGCACCTTTATGAGCAATCGGATGCTCTCCCCAGTTGGTGGAGGAGCTGATGTGGGCTGGAAGGAATGTTGAGACGTGACGGGAGGGGTGCCGTGGAGGGAATGCCCCCCTTAGCCCTGACCTCATCGGCTTCACAGCAGCCCCCCCCACACTGCAGCTGTTGACTCTTTTAAGTTCTCCCTTCAGGAAACAGCGGCCGCAGAATATGCATTTGAGGGCAGAACGTGTAAATATTTCACTACTGTGTTATAACCATCGGGAGCCATGCTGATGATGAAATGTCCCAGATGCCGGGGCTGGAAAGGTTCCTAGCTTTCCAAGCAAATATTTAGCTCATGGAAAAATGAGTCATACTCATAGAGGAGTATGGATTAACTCCTTCTTGGCATCACAGAGAGCTGTCACTTAGCCCATCAGCCCCCTGACTGCCGAGGCAGATGCAGGGCCGCAGACATGGGCCTTTTTCCCCTGAGCCTTAGGCAG